AGGATTTCAGTCCTTCACGGCGTAGTGTGTTACCAATTGTTTTCTTGGTGACTATGGTCCCAGCAGCCTTGAGATCACTGACAAGATCCTCCCCTGTAGTTCTGGGCTGATTCCTCACCATTCTCATGATCATTGCAACTCCACAAGGTGAGATCTTGCATGGAGCCCCAGGCCGAGGGAGATTGACAGTTCTTTTGTGTTTCTTCCATTTGCGAATAATCGCACCAACTGTTGTCACCTTCTCACCAAGCTGCTTGGCGATGGTCTTGTAGCCCATTCCAGCCTTGTGTAGGTCTACAATCTTGTCCCTGACATCCTTGGAGAGCTCTTTGGTCTTGGCCATGGTGGAGAGTTTGGAATCTGATTGATTGATTGCTTCTGTGGACAGGTGTCTTTTATACAGGTAACAAGCTGAGATTAGGAGCACTCCCTTTAAGAGTGTGCTCCTAATCTCAGCTCATTACCTGTATAAAAGACACCTGGGAGCCAGAAATCTTTCTGATTGAGAGGGGGTCAAATACTTATTTCCCTCATTAAAATGCAAATCAATTTATAAATTTTTTTACATGCATTCTTCTGGATTTTTGTTGTTGTTATTCTGTCTCTCACTGTTCAAATAAAACTCCCCTTAAAATTATAGACTGATCATTTCTTTGTCAGTGGTCAAACGTACAAAATCAGCAGGGGATCAAATACTTTTTTCCCTCACTGTAGAATACATTTTGAAGCTAGAAAAGATCTAAGCTGAGTGTTGATTCAAGATTTTTTTAAAATTGCTAGGCAAGAGAGTTCATGTCAGAGGGGCACCACCTTTGTGGAGAGGGAGCACATGGGCAGCCTTCCAGACCCTAGGGATAGCACCCAAAATAATTGTCAGGTAAAAAATATGTGTCAATGATTCCACAATTAGGGGAGCAGAAAGCTGCAGTAAGAAAGGATCAAGCAAATCAGCCCCAGTGGATTTTTTTTAAACGTCAATCTTAAGCATGGCGTCTAGCACATCACAAGTAGAGTCACTGAAATGAAACCAAAGATTCACTAGAAGTTGACAGATCTTCCATCATGCCAACTAGAGGATGGGAGAGGGAAGAGCATTCAAGTGACTGACCAGGGTCAATTAGGTCAACATTTATTTCAAATAAAAGGCCTGCAGAGATAAAATGTTGATTAAAAGCATAAATTATGACATTTTTCTCAGTAAAGATGCTAGACCCTGAAACAACTTGCTTAGGCAGGGAGGGAGATTAATTTCCACGCTTCAGTGCATTAACTGTTTTCAAAAATTTGAACAGATCACCAGCAGAGTCAAAAACATATATGTAAATGCAACATGCAACAATTTTAAGGATAAGGAAATAAGGAAATCAGTCAATTGAAATAAATTCATTAGGCCCTAATCTATGGATTTCACATGACTGGGAATACAGATATGCATCTGTTTAAAAAGAAAATAGGGGCGTGGATCAGAAAACCACTCTGTATCTGGTGTGACCACCACTTGCCTCATGCAGTGTGACACATCTCCTTTGCATAGAGTTGATAAGGCTGTTGATTGTGGCCTGTGGAATGTTGTCCCACTCCTCTTCAATGGCTGTGCGAAGTTGCTAGATATTGGCGGGAACTGGAACACGTTGTCGTACATGTCGATCCAGAGAATCCCAAACATGCTCAATGGGTGACATGTCTGGTGAGTATGCAGGCCATGGAAGAACTGGGATATTTCCAGCTTCCAGGAATTGTGTACAGATCCTTGCGACATGGGGCCGTGCATTATCATGCTGAAACATGAGGTGATGTCGGCGGATGAATGGCACGACAATGGGCCTCAGGATCTCTGTGCATATAAATTGCCATCAATAAAATGCAATTGTGTTCATTGTCCGTAGCTTATGCCTGCCCATACCATAACTCCACCGCCACCATGGGGAACTCTGTTCACAACTTTCAGCAAACCGCTCGCCCACACAACGTCATACACGTGGTCTGCGGTTGTGATGCCGGTTGGACGCACTGCCAAATTCTCTAAAACAAAGTTGGAGGCGACTCATGATAGACAAATTAACATTCAATACTCTGGCAACAGCTCTGGTGGACATTCCTGCAGTCAGCATGCCAATTGCACGCTCCCTCAAAACTTGAGACATCTGTGGCATTGTGTTGTGTGACAAAACTGCACATTTTAGAGTGGCATTTTATTGTCCCCAGCACAAGATGCACCTGTGTAATGATCATTCTGTTTAATCACCTTCTTGATATGCCACACCTGTCAGGTGGATGGATTATCTTGGCAAAGGAGAAATGCTCACCAACAGGGATGTAAACAAATTTGTGCACAACATTTGAGTGAAATAAGCTTTTTGTGCATATGGAACATTTCTGGGATCTATTATTTCAGCTCATGAAACATGGGACCAACACTTTACATGTTGTGTATATATTTTAGTATTTTCACTCCAAGGCGGTTAACACTAGAACTGCTGGGCCTCAACGTTTCCCCCTTCATTCTGACCGCAACATTCTAAAAGTGTCATTAATACATTTCATATATGCTAGGGCAAAAATAATCATTTGGTTGTGTTTCTGAAGGTTTTAGGTAACATTCAAATACGAGAAAAAATATTTCAAATAACACAATAGCATTTTTATTAGTTTATGTTACTGTAGGCTATATGTAAAAACAAAAAATTCAAGTGTTCAACATTTTTCATCGTGGAGTGCCTTTGTTACAACTATGAAACAGGAAGCATATGTGTTGGAATGCAGTAACAGCTTGTATTTATAACAACCCAAAAAAAAAAAATACGATGATAATCAGATGATGATTTGTTGTGATTGTTGTTGTTGAAGTGTTTTTAGTGCCCTCCTGCCAATTTCGTCCAAACTTCTTTTAATCTCTTATTTTAAATCCTCGTAACACAAACAGCAATTTTCTTGGACAATTTCAGGCATATCTACATCCATTATGAATCGACTTAAACATAGTCCTCCTAAAACAAGAAGAACATATCGCATCGACAACGTGGTCCAGGCTAGGCCAGTTAGCCCTGCTAATTCAGCCAGCTCTACTAACCCAGTTAGCCCTTCAAGCTCCTCACACCACGAGTCCGACATGACAACCAACGATGTCGACGACCTAAACCAGAACCAGAACCAAGGGGTTTTGGAAGCAATCTGCCATGAGGGCCTAACAGGGATTAGTGAGGTTAAGCGTGACCTTCAAGCCAACTCCACGCGCTTGGACGAAGCAGAGGAATGCATTAGCATGGTGGACGATACTGTCGTCATTGTCAAAACAACGACTGAAAAGTTGGAGAAACAGGTGGCGGACCTTACTTCAAAATTAAGCTCACTTGAGAACCACCACAGGAGGTCTAATTTGAGAGTGGTTAATCTACCCGAAAAAGTGGAAAATGGTGACGCAGTTGCATTTCTCGAGAGATGGCTTCCCGAGGCATTGGGGCCAGACAACTTTCTGGACCCCGTGCGCATTCAAAGAGCCCATCGGCTTCCGGCTCCTACAGGCCGGAGAAACCACCCCTCTCCTCGAGTCCTTATGATTAAGTTTCTCAACTTTCAAGACAGTGTCCGAGTGATGTGGAAAGCCAGGGATAAGGGCAAGGTGATGTACGGGAACCAAGAGATCATGTTCTTCCCTGACCTATCCACGGACCTGCATTGAAAAATAAAAAGGCTACGACGGGGTCAAACGCCTGCTCACGTCCCTCAACATTGCCTATAGAATAGCCTTCGTCTAACTTACAAAGGACGGTCACATGAGTTTGAGTCTCCCTCTCAAGCCGAGGCGTTCAACTGTGGCATACAATGTGAATCTTCTTCCTAGTCATGTTGCCGCTGTGAAGTTTACCACAACTCTGGACTACGGAGAATTAAACCACCTTGGAATATGTGACTGTTGGCAAGCTAACTAACATTAGCTAATTTATTAGCTGCTACTGTAGTACTGTAGCTAGCATAACAGTTAAGTGAATAATAAGGTGAGCTAGCCCACTCAAAGTTTCCTTATATTACTTTTAGCCTGTATGTGCTCATCAGTTAGCTCAGTTTCTCCTATATGACAGGTGAGATAGCTGTCCATTGTACGTTGGATGTCATGTTGAAGTTTATTTTTGTTATGTTGATAATTCTCTTCCATTGGATTACATAAAACACTGTAAAATGCCAGCGAAAATGTTTAGCTCCATGTCAACGGACTCAAAATGGCTAACGTTACCTCACTTATTTAGCCAGTGAGCTAGCCTTAACACAGCGGGACCTTATTCATTCATTCTGCACCACTGAGAAGCATCGGGACTACTTTAAATGAAGACTTAAGTTTCGATCATATCCTTGGAGTAAAATTATTGACACTCACGTGCAAGCCTGACATCAACATCATGTGCAAATGGCCTTTGGGTAACGATATAGCACATATTCAATGGTATCTCTTTTTCTCATGTAGCCTGTTAATTTCTGATCTGTGATACTTTTTTTGGTTTATAAACTTTAAGCTATAAAAACAAAGAGAGTCTGTATAAATTCCCAGTAATTTATTGGGCATCACTGTGCCTTCTTCAGGGTAATGTCATGAATGCTTGAACCAGGTTATGTACACAAAACAGTGCAATTAGTGCAACCAATGACAATAGTGAGGGGTGTGTCAAAATTATTAGGTTGATTAGAATGATTTGAGTGAAACTGTTAAAAGACAATAGTTTACAGCACATTGCATAAATTAGGCTATTGTTAGCATTAGCATTAGCATTAGATTAGCATCAACATACATTATTGTTTAATTTAATTTCACATATATTTAATTGTTTCCAATTTCATTACATTTTTGTTACATGTAATCTTTTGGTTCAACCATAATGCATAATAAGCATCATCAACAGGGGAAACATATTGGGTGTACGCTGATAAGCTGTAAAAAGAATATATTCATTTATAATACTAAAAAATAATTGTTCATAAGAAGGGCCTGAGCTCAAAGTATTCAGACCACTAGGGGTCAATGTTTTTAAATAGGATATCCAGTAGGCCTCCCTCTGTAGTAGTAGGATGTCGATGTTACCTCCTCTCTTTGGTAGAGCAACATGCTCAATGCCTGTGTATTTGAGGGAGGAGATGGGATGGTTAGCTTCAACAAAGTGAGCTGCTACTGGATAGTCAGTGCTCTTACACCTGATTGAGCTGCGGTGTTCAGCTATGCGTTGTTTTAATAGTTTTTTCGTTTGTCATATGTATGTAGGCTTTCCCACATGAACAGGTGATGAGATAGATTATTCCCTTTGTCTTGTATGTGGGTGTTTTTGTAGTGCTATTGCACTGTGCGCATGACCCACATTTGTAATTTCCATTTGGAATGGGTGTCAAGAGTGTCTGAGTGGGCTCAGGGGGCAGGTCAGATCTCACTAAGCTATCCCCAATATTGCAACCACACTTATAGACCACCAGTGGGGGTTCCTTGAAGAGGTGAGCAATTTTTTTGTCTGATTACAGAATATGCCAGCGCTTTTTCAGGATTGCTTTAATTTTCTCCAAACACTTGGTGTACTTTGTGCAAAAGACTGTTGCATTGTTTTTCTTCTTTGGTTTAGTTTTTAGCAATTCCTCTCTTGGTTTTTGAGATATTTTCATCATTGCAGCATCAAGAGTTTTGTCCTTGTAGCCTCTCATTTTGAATGTATCTGTCATTTTCTTAGCATTGCTGTCAAAATATGACTGGTGGCCACAGATTCGTTTAACCCTGCATAACTGGCTATATGGTAGACCATTCTTGAGGGGAAGAGGATGCATACTATCCACACGTAGCAGGGAATTGCGGTCTGTGGGCTTTGTGTATAAGTCTGTATGTAATGTATCATTCTCTTTGAGGATCCATAAGTCCAGGTAGTTTTTTTTTTTTTCTCTCATCAGTCTGCATGGTGAATTTGAGATATTCGGAGCTCTCGTTTAGCAGAGTTTGGAATTCATTTAGTTCCTGTTGACTTCCTTCCCAGAGCACAAAGACATCATCTATGTATCTCTTCCATAGGAGGATTTTAGAAAGTAGGGGGTGTGTCTCTGTTTTGTAAATGAGTGCTTCCTCAAATTATCCCCCATACAGGTTCACATAGTTGGGGGCAAAGGGGGAGCCCATGGCTACACCCCGAATTTGAAGGAAAAAGTCTGACTCAAAGATTAAGTAGTTATTGGATAATACCAGTTCAGTGAGTTGCAAGATGCAATCATTGGATGGAGCAAGGGTAGGGTCTCTCTGCTGAAGGAAGTGTTGTAGAGCCTGCAATCCTCCAGTGTGTGGGATGTTAGTATACAAGCTCGCCACATCAAAAGTGGCCAGCAGGGTGCCCTCTGGTATCCTTCCTAAGCCCTCTATCAATGAGATCATGTGACTAGTGTCTGACATAAGATGGGAGGTTCTCAACCATCGGTTTAATGTGGTGGTCCACAAACTTAGAAATGTTGGATGTCACAGAGTCAATTGCTGCTACAATGGGGAGGAGACACTTGTTTGTGTAATTAAGTGACTGTATAAAAAGTTGGTATCTTAGGAAATGTCACACATAGAAATTCATTCTTTTTTTGGTGATTTGTCCTGATTTCAAACTGCTTTCCACTGTGGATGTGATATTATGCTGGAATTCTAGGGTCATAATTCAGTTTGTGATAGAAGTCACCTTAAGATAGTTGTCGGCGACATTCATTCACATAGTCACATTTGTTTTGTATACAAATTCCTCCTCCTCAATTTTTGTAATGATTATCCGCGTACACCCAATATGTTCCCCCGTTGATGATGCTTATTATGCATTATGGTTGAACCAAAAGATTACATGTAACAAAAATGTAATGAAATTGGAAACAATGAAATATACATGTGAAATTAAATTAAAAACAATAATGTATGTTGATGCTAATCTTATGCTAATGATAATGATAACAATAGCCTAATATATTCAATATTCTATGAACTATTGTCTTTTAACAGTTTCACTCAATTCATTCTAATCAACCTAATAATTATGACAAACCCCTCACTAATGTCATTGGTTGCACTAATTGCACTGTTTTGTCTACATAACCTGGTTCAAGCATTCATGACATTACCCTGAGGAAGGCACAGTGAATGCCGAAACGTTGGTGGTTTACCCAATAAATTACTGAGAGTTTATACATAGAGTGTGCGACTCGCTTTGTTTTTATAGCTTACAGTTTATTCACCATTAGTCAGCACCTCTACACTAAATCATTTTCTCTGGGTGTGCGCCAGATCATGCTTTTTATTGGTTTATAAACTTACCATGGTATAATACGTTAACAATATATGTATTGGCCATTTTGTTACTTGGTAGTTACTAGCAGCAGACCCTATGTTGTGGATCATCTACAACTATTTTGGACTGTCCATACTGTAACGTTAACGTTAGTCAGGCTTCACTATCTAGCGTTACTGTTTTAGGTGGAGCTATTCTTTGCTACTTTTCAAAAGAATACTACGTGATATTTCACATAACATCTTGCAAGATATGCCTTTTGTTTTGTTCGTGAGGAGTAATGGCCGAGAGAAGGCAGGAGATACTAGCTTATTCCATGTTTACATCTTTGGTTAAATGACTTCAAATGTAAAACTGAAATTTACTTTGTGGAATGTCTGTGGAGTTTGTAAACTATCAAAGCTTATACAGGTTATAACTAGGCTTAAACAACTTCATTCATCTATTGTGTTCCTACAAGAAACTCACTTGTTGAAGGATGAGCTACTTAAAGTACGCAGGAGATGGCAAGGGCAAGTAATAGCATCCTGTTTCTCCTCTCATTCTCGTTGTGTTATGGTTTTAATTCACAAATCTGTTTCCGTTTCAAGTGGATAATATTATAACTGATACAGCTGGTAGATACATTTTGATACAGGGAACTCTTTTGAATGACTGTATTAATCTGTTTAATGTTTATGGTCCTAATGATGATAATCCCACATTCTTTGAGAATGTATTTCTATTGATAGCCTCCCTTCCTGGTAAAGTCCTAATGGCAGGGGATTTTAATTGCACTCTTGATCCTCATCTAGATCGCTCCTCTAGATCGTTTAGACACTTCCCACTCGCAGAGTAGAAAGAAATTACAGCATTTCATTAAGGACTTAAATATATGTGAACCTTGGAGTACTCAGAACCTGAGTAAAATGGAGTATTCATGTTACTCGTCAACATTTAAATCATATTCTCGTATAGACTACTTTTAGTTTCTTGCTCATTGCTTCCCAATGTAGCAGGAAGTGCATATGATAGTATTGTTCTGAGTGACCATTCCCCTTTGTCATTATTCTATAGGGATACAAAACTAGTAAAATGATCCTCTAGATGGCGTTTGCATCCCAGATGGTTACAGGACCCAGACTTCTTACATTACGTTGGAGTGCATATAGATGTTTATTTTACATTGAACACTGACCAAACGTCAGCGAGTACCAGATGGGAGGCTTTCAAAGCATATATTAGGGGGCAAATTATATGTTTTACCAGTTTCAAATCAAATCAATTAAATCTGAAAATGAGAGAGATGGACAGCAAAATCAGAGAATTGGAGAGGGAAGTTTTTTGGATAACTCAGGAAGTACTTGCTCTTAAAGCTCAGTATGATGAACTTTCCACCTCAAAGGCTATAAACAGCTTAACGAGGCTGAAACAGTCCTTCTATGATCAAGGTGAAAAACCAGTTAAATTGCTGGCCTGGCGCATTAAGAACTTAAATTCAGCCATTAATGCAATTCATAATTTTCAAGGACAATTATCAGTGGATCCTGTAGAAATAAACCAAACATTTGCTTCCTACTACAACACACTTTACAACTCAATCTCCTGAGAACGTAACTAATCAGAAATCATTTTTGGATGGTCTTGATTTTCCCTCTATTTCAGAAGACAAAAGATTGGATCTGGAAAAGGAATTGGATGGTGTTGAAATATCTGATGCTGTTTCCAATATGAAGGGAGGTAAAGAGGCAGGTCCAGATGGGCTCCCAATAGATATTTATAATTTTTGGATATGTATGCTGAATCCTTTCAGCAAGGTTGTTTAGGGAGTGCTTTAATCACTCTTATTCTGAAGCCTGATAAATCCCCAACAAAATGTGAAAGATACAGACCGATTTATCTTCTGAACTCCGACTCAAAGATTATTGTTAAAGCTTTAGCCAGGAGATTGGATAGAGTGCTCCCATATCTAATACATGAAGACCAGAATGGCTTCGTGAAAAACCGTCAAGGTTTTCACAATGTGAGGAGAGTACTAAACATAGTGCACATGTGTGAAGGGTCCCCTGATACTGCCATACTCTCACTTGATGCAGAGAAGGCATTTGAGTTGAGTGGTCTTATTTATTTGAAGTGCTTAAGAGATTTAGGTTTGGGAACTACTTCTGTAAATAGATTAAGATATTATATACCGACCCCACTGCAGAATTTGCCACTAACAACTTGATTTCACAACCTTTTAAGCTTTTGCGGGGCACGAGACAAGGATGTCTGGCCAGTCCAGGACTCTTTCTTTTAGCTATAGAACCCTTTGCAATTGCACTAATGGCCCACCCATCAATTAGTGGAGTTAAAACATCAGATTTTGAACACCGTGTGGCCCTGTATGCCGATGATACCCTCTCATTCCTAACATATCTAAACAATTCTATCTCATCCCTCTCCAATTTAATTACAGTGAGGAAAAAAAGTATTTGATCCCCTGCTGATTTTGTATGTTTGCCCACTGACAAAGAAATGATCAGTTTATAATTTTAATGGTAGGATTATTTGAACAGTGAGAGACAGAATAACAACAACAAAATCTAGAAAAACGCATGTCAAAAATATTATAAATTGATTTGCATTTGAATGAGGGAAATAAGTATTTGACCCCCTCTCAATCAGAAAGATTTCTGGCTCCCAGGTGTCTTTTATACTCTTAAAGGGAGTGCTCCTAATCTCAGCTTGTTACCTGTATAAAAGACACCTGTCCACAAAAGCAATCAATCAATCAGAATCCAAACTCTCCACCATGGCCAAGACCAAAGAGCTCTCCAAGGATGTCAGGGACAAGATTGTAGACCTACAAAGGGCTGGAATGGGCTACAAGACCATCGCCAAGCAGCTTGGTGAGAAGGTGACAACAGTTGGTGCGATTATTCGCAAATGGGAGAAACATAAAAGACTGTCAATCTCCCTCGGCCTGGGGCTCCATGCAAGCTCTCACCTCGTGGAGTTGCAATAATCATGAGAACGGTGAGGAATCAGCCCAGAACTACACGGGAGGATCTTGTCAATGATCTCAAGGCAGCTGGGACCATAGTCACCAAGAAAACAATTGGTGACACTCTACGCCGTGAATAACTGAAGTCCTGCAGCGCCCGCAAGTTCCCCCTGCTCAAGAAAGCACATATAGAGGCCCGTCTGAAGTTTGCCAATGAACATCTGAATGATTCATGTTATTCTGTCTCTCACTGTTCAAATAAACCTATCTTTAAAATTATAGACTGATCATGTCTTTGTCAGTGGGCAAACAAACAAAATCAGCAGGGGATCAAATACTTTTTTCCCCTCACTGTAATAACTTTGGTCAGTTTTCTGGGTTTAAAGTTAATAAAACCAAATCTTCTATCCTTTTCCTCTTCAAGCAAGAGAGACTGAATCCAGTTGTACAGCATCCATTTGTGAATACAGAACAAGGTGTCACATTTCTTGGTATTAAAATCACACCAGAAATTAGCTCCTTCAATTCAACAAATGATGAACCCATGGTAACGAGTGTAACAGAATCCATCAACAGATGGACATCATTGCCTATATCTATTATTGGTAGACTAAATATAATTAAGATGAAAAACTAACTGTAAGTCGCTCTGGATAAGATTGTCTGCTAAATGACTAAAATGTAAAATGTAAAAATTTATTCTGCCCACATTTCTTTATCTATTCAATCAATTCATCTGGCTCTGCCACCTTTATTTTCACGCAAGATCAGAAAGATACTCTCAAATGTTATCTGGAGCAACAGAAAACCAAGGCTTAGATTTTCTCTTCTTTATTTGCCCTATGACAGAGGGGGTTTGCAACTTCCAAACCTACAGTGGTATTACTGGGCACAACTTAA